GGAATTGTCAAATTGTCAGCTCGGCTGGAATTTGTCGGGGTCACTTCATAACGAACAAATTTATAAAGGACGCTACATAAAATGACTGGGAGGAACCCTGATTACTATCCGACTGAGATAAGCGCCGTATCGTGAAAAATCATATCCAGCCGGGTACTGAAATTGTAGGTGGAACTATAATTATGCGTCGCAGTGTACATATATGTACATCAGTGCCACTTTAGCAGCAATCAAGCGGCAAAGGGACGAGGTGTAGCTTTTCGTGGCAAGCGGTGAGCTGGCACCAGCTTCACAGGGTTTCACATCTAAAAACCGTAACGCTCCGGAGCCGCCATGCCCATTAATGTGTTGCAAGTAGAAGAATAGCTCACCTGTCATTGTGGAAGAGCATATCACTTCATGCGGTCTCATCTATCTATTCGTTTAGATAATATCTTATCGCTAAAGCATAATGTTTGTTGGCATGATGGCGGCTATCTTAGCCACCCGTTCCAACGACCCTCTCCTAGTGGCTGACTCGTTCACAGTCAGAAATTAAGGGGCGAATAAATTATTTCGCTGTTCTTGGAAGATTTCACTGCTTTTCCACTACTGGCGCACCGTATGCCACCAACCTTTCGTCAAAGCTTCATCGATCTATCGCAATTATTGCCTTTCTCACCGCTTGTGTTCATCATCGAAAAGAAAGAGTGCGACTAACGTGAAGGCTGTGTCAGGTGACGTACTGTGTCCCTCTTCGAGCACATACAGCTTTTTAACGTTTCGACTGGTAACTGAATCCAACTCCTCTCCCACCTTGCTATTCTGCCAACTATGGAGGAAATCGTTTTGTTCATTTCATCATGGCTGATGCAGTCAATATAGCCACAGATAGTCATCTTGAAAACAATCCCATTTTTGCAGTCCTGGTATGGTTGCAACCACTATCATGCAGAAACAAGGTCTTTCTGAAGAAAAATCGAGAAAGGTAAGATAGCTTAAATATTTCGCAAGATCTGATGCGTACGTGAGCGTTCACAGTGGTGTCGGTGGTGTCGCTTCACAAGGCGGGCGATGAATCCTGGGTCGACCCTGCTCAAACTCGTCTTTCCATCATTTTGTGGTCGATTAATCGGTACAACACTCGCCTGGCATAACAAAGCTCCTGCACTCCTCTCTCACCTCTCCTCTCATGCATAACCATTTTTTTGTATGGAATTCGTATTGAAAGTGCTACGTGGACTGAAAATCGTGAAATCGTTGATCAATCCGGATTTGCTTTCTTTCTTACAAGGAAAGTCCCTCGAGTCGCCATGGCCATTCGAGAAGAGATGTATACTCAGGTATGCGTCTTGGAACGCTGATCTCGAATCCGTCTCCCAAATCTGCTAAACGATCCGGAGAGAGAAGTTAGGGGGTGGTTTCACCATGGAGGTCCAGTTCTTAATGCTACTCGACAACCAAGCAGTCGTGCTGTGGTGGCGCAGCCGGTAAGTTGTCAGACTTGCATGAGCAGCACCAAGGTTCGGATCCTTGATGCATGTGTTGCTTTTGCATTTGTCTTAAAATATTTTTTAAACGTTTAAAA